TAATTTTAGCAAAGTGTCTAAACCACATTTGATGTTTTATCACTTTCAATAAATATGCCAAATTTCATAACGTGCCAATATATAAATTCACGTATATCTCTGGAAATTTTGAATAAAAAACTGTAATAGCAAGTATGCTTAGAAATAGTATGTCTACTTTAAGATAATGGTAAAAATTTTATAGATTATAATTCAAAAATTTTTTTGAAAAATTTATAAAAGTTACTTTAAAATACAAATTTTAAAAATGAATCATAAAGTTGGGTGAATTTTATTTGGAATGAACCTGAATTTCAAAATGTGAAAGGAAGAATCAAATAAGCTTAATAAAAAAACAGTGATTAATAAATATATAAAGCAAACTCAATTAACATTGTGGAGCTAAAACTTTGAGAGTTGATTTTTTAAAAACTACCCATGCAATTTTTATAAAACTTGGTAATTTGGCATAATTTGAGTCGTAGAATTGAAATATGGAAAAAAAATGGTATGTTATTTCAGAAAAAGTCCGATTTTGTGTCAAAATACCTGTGTTAGAATAGTGCTATATATAAATCTAATATATATCCTAAGTCGCAATAGATGATGGCTGTTCTGCATAGCAAATATCTCTATTTTTAAACAAGTTCTAGCTTTTTCATTACACCCTCCCCCCCCCAAATAAACATAAACCAGTGCCTAAAATATGATAAAAGAAATTCATCCACATGCATTTAATAAATTTTGTGTCAAAATACCTATGTTAGAACAATGCTATATATAAATCTAATACATATCCCAAGTCGTGCTTTCAAGACATGAAAAACGCAATTTGAATTTTGTCAATCGGTATAGTAGAACGGAAGATTTAGAACTGTCCCGCCCTTTTTTTTATTTTTGCGCAGTGCACATTGTGATACTGTGAAGAGTAGTATGACTACTTTTGCGAAAAGTCACAGAACTGTGAAGGAACTGTGCTCCTTCTGATAAAATTACTTTTATCAACCTATCATCAGACCTGTATACATTCAATCTTTATGAACCCATATACACACTACGATATATATATTGGGTTGTTCGGAAAGTAATTTCGTTTTTTCCCGTCAGAGGACTTAATTACATTTTTTCGAAACCAACTTCACACTTAAGCCGCATAACCATTACATGTCTTGAGAGCTGATATTACAAGGCTTGTGTGTGAAAAAAGTTCTATTAATTCTACGCAGTAGTTTTTGGTTGTGCCCTTTTAAATATGGAGAGCAATAAGCAGCATTTTCGTCATATTTTACTTTTTTACTTCAGAAAAGGTAAAAATGCTGTCCAAGCGAGAAAAAAATTGACAGATGTGTATGGAGAAGGCGTGTTAACAGTACGCCAGTGCCAGAACTGGTTTGCAAAGTTTCGACCTGGCAATTTTGATGTCGAAGATGCACCACGGTCTGGAAGGCTGGTCGAAGCTGACAAAGATGCGATAAAGGCATTAGTTGATGCAAATCGGCAAATAACCACACGAGAGATCGGTGAGAGGTTAAATTTGTTGAATCCGACTGCTTATGGCCACTTGAAAGGCCTGGGCTTAACCTCGAAGCTCGATGTGGGTGCCCCATGTTCTTATGGAGCGAAATTTGTGTCGCCGCGTTGACGTGTGTGATTCACTCCTCAAACGTCAGGAAAATGATCCATTTTTGAAGCAGATTATTACTGGGGATGAAAAATGGGTCGTATACAACAATGTGAAACGCAAGAGGTCATGGAGCAGAAAAGATGAACCGGCTCAAAGCGTTTCAAAAGCCAACATTCACCAAAAAAAAGTGATGCTGTCCGTTTGGTGGGATTTCAAAGGAATCGTTTTTTTTTTTTTTAGCTTTTTTTTTTTTTACAACTATTAATTCGGAAGTCTATTGTCATCAGCTGGACAAATTGAATGATGCACTTAAACAGAAGAGGCCAGAATTAACCAACAAGAAGGGTGTAGTGTTCCACCAGGATAATGCGAGACCTCATACAAGTTTGGTCACTCGCCAAAAGCTTTTACAGCTTGAATGGGACATACTGCAACACCCACCATATTCTCCAGATCTGGCGCCTTCCGATTATTATTTGTTCCGGTCCCTGCAAAATTTTTTGGATGGTAAAACCTTTACCTCAAATGAAGATGTCAAAAACCACCTGAATCAGTTTTTTGCCAGCAAGGACCAAAACTTTTACGAGCGGGGAATCATGTTACTGCCATAAAGATGGCAAAAGCTGTTGGACCAGAATGGCCAATATATAATTTAATAAGATATTTATTCATTATACGAAAATTGTCTTTCATGTTCCCCCCCCAAAAAAACGAAATTACTTTCCGAACAACCCAATATATATGTGTGCGTTGTGTAAAATATAAAATATCTACCTTTCTAATAATAAATTAACAATAGCGCTTTAACTCCTCTTTTAAATTTGAGCTTGTTGCCCTCTTCATTCTAAAAATAGCAAAGCATATATGATAATGTAATATAACCTGATATAATTCTAATATAACTTTTACTTCCTATTATTCTGAAATGTTATTCATCATCATCTCTATTGTGCAATTCCTGAAATGCAATGAAATTTTAATCCATTATCTAAATATTAATCTGTTATGTATCTGAAATTTAATTTGCTTAATTTAAATATTCTTGTAATGTGGACCAAAATGTAATGTGTTTAATGTAATCATACTTTGGTATAAAAGGTCTTTGCTGCACAGTCTCGCTATCTTTGGTTCTCTCGTTGGATGCCCTTCTTTTTTGCTTGCTGCCTCTTTTTCATCATGATGTAATTATACAGTTCAAATTGTGGGATGAAAATTGCTTTCATTCTGTTCCAAAATCATGAAGCAGCATGATTATTTCTGAAGATCAAGAATAAAAAGATATTTTGGACTGTTTAAGAAAACCATTTAATTTTAATAAAAAAATTATTTTGAACTGTATTTCTGCAAGTTTCTAGTTGACACATCCCTTTTCCATGCCAAGTTATTACAATGAAGCTTCTTCCAGTTTTATTACAATTAACCGTGATGAAACTGGAAGAAGCTCGTCATGAATAAAGAGGATGAAGAGGGAAACATGCTCAAATTTCACTATTGTTAATTTACTATAAGAAAGTAGATATTTTATTGCTACATGTCTATATATATGTGTGAGTGTGTAAGATTAAAAATATGTAAAGATAAATAATAACTGAAATTAGCAATAGTCCCTTAATGCTTAATTTGGCATTTCCCTCTCTATTCTAAAAATAGTCATCATTTTCTGCACTGTATCATTTTGAGACTAATCCATATCATAAAACTCTTACATAACATTAATGACATAAATGGAACCAAAACTCAAACAGCTAATAATAATAATTTTACAGCAGTAAAATTATTATTAGCTGTTCAAACCAATCAAATACACGGAGAACCAAAATTAATTCATTCTGAATTAAGATTTCTTCTTTCTGCAGAGCTGCCAAAAATGCAAACATTTTGAAATAGGCACAACTAGTATGCCAAGTTGTATGTGGCCACAACACATTTACTAAAATAGAAGTGAAGATTTAATCTGCCTCAATTGCCAATTTCTTATTCATTATGGATCAACATTCTATGCAATCAAATTTTTGCTATTCATAATGGGTTCAACATTCTACCTATCTATGCTATCAATATTTCTATGTATCTGTGCAATCAATTTTTCTATAACATCAATACTTCTAAGTCTGCTTTCATTACAGTGAGTGGTTACAATACTATTATATATATATATTTCAAATTATTCTACAGTAACTTGTTGAATTATATCATCTTTGAAATTAACAAATTTATCCTCGGTAACTACAAATTAACAAATTTATCAATAACTTATTTTCATTTAGATGGATATTTCAATGAATGCAAATAATGTATATTCATATGAATATATTCAGATGCTATATTCTTAGTTACACTTTTAACTGCCTATTAAGAACTTTTGTTTGGAGCAAACCTTGTCAAACCCTGTGATAGCACTGATGGATGTATACTTTTTTAATCCAGCTTTCTTTTTGTAATAAGATTTATTGTGAAGGATTTTCTTATAATTCATCTTTACTCATAATCTTAGAAGAATGAATTGTATTGATACAATTTTTATTTATCAGATTGGAAAGGGTATTTTGACTATCTTTGTTTTTAGCCCACTGCCTAAGTCATTGCAGAGATTCAATGTCTCTCCCCTTTTAAATACAGCATTAGCTTTACTCGTGCAAATATTCTTATTTGTAGATATCTGGTTATTTCTCTATTTTCTTTTCTTCATCTTATATTTGTTGTTTTCCTCCCATTCAGGAGTGGCCATCTGTCCTTGTGGGAAGTTATAATGAAGATTGATAATTTCACAGAAACAGGAAAGCTTTTGACAATTGCAGCACACAGAATCAAAGGATCATAAAGACATCCAAGTTTTGCTTCATTTCTCACACACAAAAAAAATTTCTGCCCTAATTATAAGCAATGAAACAAAGCTTGTAGCTAAAACAAAGCAATGATATTTAATTATAGTAATCACAACTACAATTTGTTATGTAATCCATAGTATTTTAAATGTATTAATAATTACCTATAAATTTTTAAAAACAAGTACAATTTAAATTTTTATCTTAAGTTTAAAAAAAAAAAACTTAGTGATAAAATAATCAAAGATATCTGTAAAAGAATATTACAATGTTTTCAAAAGGAAAATATAAATCCTATTGCAACTTACTGAATATAATTTATAACAATAAAACATTATTTATTTTATTAAAAAGTCTAGATAACAAATACATATATCAATGCTTGTTCATAATAGCTGAAATAAATGGCAATTTAATGATAAAAAAGAAATACACTTTAACATCTACCTAAAGAGAAAATTTCAGTGTAATAATTAATATTCATATTTAAAAGAGAAATAATTTACTATTTTCTCCATTATATCAGTTAACTATTTGATGAAATTTCTATTGAAACATAAACACACACTTACTTTCAATGCTTGTCTTTTATTTGTTCTAATTTTCTCATGCACTGTTTCAGGAGATAAGCATGTATTTATGTGTGGGCATAAATTTGCAATACCAAGGCAAAGATGGCCCATAAATACTATTCTGAAATATTTAAAACAGGTTAATAAGAAATTAATCTTCAGATGCCAATATTAGCAAATTTATTAATAAAGCATAAATTTGAAAATATAGAAGTTTTTAAAAGTCTATATTTTCAAAAGTATTTTACGTACACACATGAAAAATATATGAAACGAACCACAAACTCACCAAGTTTATACACCCTCTACAAATATTCAGTATGTGCCCCTTTCAGTGTGTGCTTTGGAGACACGATACACATTCAGATGATAATCAAGCTCATTTCATATATTTTGTAGCATTGTTGCCCAGATGTCCGTCCTGCAAATTTACTAGATGTTCAGAATACCACAGAAAACTGTGTGGAAGATTCTGACTCAACGGTTGCATTTCAAACCATACCATGTGTAGCTCCTGCAACAATTAAAGCTGGAGGACTACGTCCGTCGACTAGATGTTTGCATTTACACGCAGGAAACATTGGAGGACAAAGATTTCATCTCCCACCAAGCTGATATTTAGTGATGAAGCAACATTCCACTTATCTGGGAAACTTGGTGAAATAGTGAAAAAAACTTGTTAAGTTTTTTTCATATATTTTTCACATGTGTACCCGTAATACTTTTGAAAATATAATCTTTTCAAAATGAATTAATCATTTATACTAACCCTGTATTTAATTAAACAATTCTGTAACAAATTTATTAACTTCAAGGGAAATTTATATATATGCCAGTAACATTAAAACTGTGTCAAACCCTCTTCAGCAGGTTTATAAACAACAATATTTTTTAACATCCAGAATTTTACAAAAAATACAGAATCTATAATAATAAGCAAAATAAATATTCCAATTACTAAACATACATCAAAGCTTCAACAGAATTCACATAGAAAAATAATGAAATTCTTTTTTTACTATTCAATGAATTACATATGATAGCTAAAGTATGTTTAATGAGAATTTTGGATAAAAAATCTTCAGCTTATTTTTCCCTATCATCAAATGTAAAAGAAAGCTTAATCATTCAGATAGCTGATACTAATAACTACTACAAAAAACACACCAAAAAATACTACAGCCAAAAGTCTTTAACCCGGACTCATCGGGACTTTGGCAATTCAGGATTATCGGTTTTTCTGGATTATAGATCATCAATTTAAATCTGGTAAGATGGCATGCAGGAAATTATAAAATTAAAAATATGAAACCGTAATTTATGAAATAAAGAGAAATTATGATCGAAAGGGTATCAAAATTTACAAAAAAAGCTTAATATTTATTTGTTTACTTTATTAAACATTTCTTTCAACATGCGCATGCGTAAAGCATACATTACGCATAGTCGAAATTAGAAAATTGCAACCAGAAAACTATTTGATGTGTATTCATGATATTTATATAATGACGAGGAATTTGATTTAAATCATATCAAAGACAGAGTATCTCGAGATGAAATACTATATTTAGTAATGAATAAGGCAAATAAAATAGAAACATCTGCCCTGAAGACAAAGATAGTGCTGACAGATCAACTTCCAGTTCATTGCGCGCCGCGATTCAAGTCCTAGGGTCGGCACTGACAGTTTGACAGTTTTTACGTCTCCTGTTTCAAAATAGCCTTAATGTCTCTACAGTGGCGCCCGAGCTAAATAAGGTGGTGGATGATGATTCTTGACCACCAGGATTTGGTGATTAGTTTCCTTAATCCCCAGTCGCGCTTTAAAGGGGGGAGTATATAAGGTGTTTCTCTTGCCTTCTTAGCATGCCTTCGTGGTGTAATGGTGAGCACACTTGGCGAGTATTCAAGAGGACTGAGGTTCGGAGGCATTGCACATTTTCACATCTCCTACTTCAAAATAACCTAATGTCTCTACACCTCTTTCTCAAAAGTGTAATTCAGCTGTCCCTGTTCTCTGTGATGAAACAGTTAAATGAGTGACTTGTTTCTCCTTCCTGACAAAGGACTAATTAGAAAGTGTCTGGCCATTAAAGGGGCCAAAAGTGCTTATTTTTGGTCTCAAAACTACTAGTTACTTTCAAAGGTTATCAATGTGGCTGCCATGAGATGTTCTACTGTATAATTTTCCTATTTTTACAACTATACTTTTATGCTTTGAAATACTATTTCTTATACAATGGAAATTAAATTAAAAAAATTTTAAATTGAATACTCTTTCAATTTTATTATGAAAGTAATTTTTTTAATTCATATGTGTATGTACATATACTGTGTGGGTATTTATATTCTCACCTGCAACTGTTTTCAAAACTATGCTTTTCATTTTCCATATATAGGAGAGTAGTTTCAATATAGCTAGCCAAACTAGAAAGAGAAAGAAACAGTAAAAAATTTTATAATTTTAATTTTATTTAAATTATTAATTACTGTTATATATAAATCATACATATATATATATACTTTCAACTAACTAGCATACTCTTTAAGTTAATAACAAATTACTATATCATTTCATTTTATATTCCAGGTCAAAATAAATCAATTCTATATAATTCTTGTTTATATATTCAGAATAGTATTTGTATATATACTCACATAATAGTTAGCCTAAGATAAATATTTACAAAAACAAAGTGAAATCAAATTATACTATTTATATAATAGTAAAGTAACTGATTTTATGCTGTTGCTTGAGCAACAGAAAATCAAAAAAAAAAAAAAAATAAATAATATATAATAAATAAATAAATAAATAAAACAGTATCATCAAATAAATACTGAAATTATTAAAATACAATAACACGCCGAAGAAATATTAATTTAGAAGTCAAACAACAAAAATCAGGTAAGATCAAAGTAACAAACAAAAATATCTATTATTTCCTGGATTTAGATTATATTTTTCAAATTTTCACAGGACTAGTTTCAATGGTTTTACCGAAACATCATCCTCAGCTGCAAAAGCGCAAATGAATGAAGTTAATCATAAATTAAACTGAAATTATTCTTGCAAAAATTCATTAAAATTATAAATTTGAGATGAATTAAAGTATTAAAAAGTATTATTCTATTTACAACCCAATAAATATTTAAAAACATGTTTTAAAGAAATAAAACAATTGATGATGATTTGCACAATATTCTAGAAGTTTTCAAATGAACTTTTTTTTTTTTTTTTTTTTTTTTTTTTTTTGGTTTTATTTGGCATTATAATTAGATTTTGATAGTTCCAAAAACATTCTGTTATTTATAAAAGAATAAAAATGTTTAGATATTGAAAGAAATAAAACAGTAAATGAAGTTTGATGTAACATTTTCAAATTTTCAAATGAATTTTTTAAATTGGTATTAGTATCAAATTTTGATAACTGCTTTCTAAAGTATTAATTTTTTTGGACATTTATGCATTAATAATGTATTAACAAACTGGCAAAAAATTAGGCAAAGACTTAAGTAAAAAAAAAAAAAAAAAAAAAAAAAGGTTATGTGTTCTGATATCATTAGTCTTGCATTTGATTAACATGGAAACAAATTTATTTACTTTCTCAAAAACCAAGATTTATAATTCAGAAGTTCATGCCCGCAGGAAGAATATGAAATTTTGTTTTTACTATACTTTTACTCTTTTTTTTTTTTTTTTTTAAATTTTTCGTTTGCCCACCATCAGCCAAGGGATAAACTTGCAAATAGGCTAGCTGTATGGGCATTGTCATAGTTCCCCCCCCCTATGTAATGTGGATACAAGGCAGTTTCCTTCATGAAGGTATCCTTGCACTTAGACAGATAGACCTTACATGATTTCCCATAGTCAAATACACCAAACCTTATTACTATTGCACAGCTGTAAACAGTTATTTTTCCTATTTTATGAGCGATCAGTGAACCCTTAAAATGTATTACTCTTTTTATGTTCAAACCAGCAGACACTTTTAAATAGTTTTTAGAGTTCAAATTATAGTAGTGTTTAGATTACAATCATCATTATCATTACAGTTTAATAGGCAATATTTACTTGCAAATGTCATAAAAGTAAAGTAATTTAATCAATAAATACATATTCACATTAAAATTTTAATTTATTATAGATTTGAAAATAATTGTATTTAAAATTTATTTCAGGGATAAAATCAGTAACAAAACCCAAAACCTAAAACTGTTTAATCTAGTTTTCCTTGGCATGTTTTCTATTATTTAGCTACACACAAGCCCAAAATCCAGTCTGTGGAGCTTAGGTGAATCTGTATTTGGGATTTTTTTGGATAACAGATCATCAATTTAAACCTAGTAAGATGACATGTAGAAATTATAAAATTAGAAATATGAAATAGTAATTTATGAAATAATACAGCATTTAAAGCCTTAAAGGAATCAAAATTTATGAAAAATAGCTCAATATTTGTTTCCTTTATTAAACATATCTTTCAATGTAACTTTAAGTTGCATCGTTTTTTGTGCTAATATTTTCTCCTTAATTGTATAGATAGACACAATTTATTGTGCAATTACAAAGTACTGTAATTATCATGAGAAGAATTCCCACTAAATTGTCAATCAAAATTTTTTCATTATCAACAACTTGTCTGTTATTTGCTTCACTATCAGAAGCAATATTTCCTGGATGTAGAGCCATACAATAGATTTCACCATCTGTTAGTTGATCAATGATTGGAGCACTGTAATTGCACTGAAGAACGTCTGTTCATCATCTTCATTCACAACTTCTCCACATTTCTTTAAAAACTCCATTAATTGAAAAGATTCACTTTTTGTTTATAATGATTGAACACCTTCAAATTTGCGGACGTCATCATAAAGCTTAGCTAGCACCCACCATATACTATTGGTGATGTATCACGAAATTGGCGACTAAAGACATATTCTGCTAAATTTTGTCTTGCTTCTATCTCACACTGACAAAGTTAAGCTTGAATTAGTTATTCATTATAATTATACCTATTTCCTGTGCATACTAAGGCTTATCAGAGTTCCCCAAACAAATAATTCTCACATATACTTAAGGCTTATCCAGGGCTAGGGTTACACATTTGGCAGCCCCATGCAATCTCTGTGCGTCTGAAATTCTGCTGCCCCAAACCCTCTTAATTCTAAAAATTTTCCCATCCCTTAATTTTGTTTTTTAGAGCTTCTAAAAGTAACTACATTCTAAAAAATTTGCCTGCCCTAATTCTGCTGCCTGGTGCAGCCACAGCAGCTCTGTCATTGATCCTTGGTTTAACTGAAAACAAATCAGTTTCAACTCATACATCACTAAATGTAATCTTTTGGCCTATGAGTATCATTTTTTAAAAAAATCTAATTTTTTGCATGTGGAAAGAAATTTCTGTTAAATTTCTCCTGTCAACACACTTGACACTTCACAGCCTATAATCATTGCCAAGTTTAATGTAAACATAAAAGCTTCGGCATTCAGTTACCAACATTAGAAATTTAAAAAAAAATTTTTTTTAGACATTGCTGAGTTATTTCTCAAGCTGTAATGCACTGACAGTCATACGGTGATGGAAAAAAAAAATAATCGTCAGGCTGGAATCACTGCCGAAGTAAAATTAAGAAATGGAACTCCCTGCATGAGCTGGTGATTCTGAAATCTGGATCTGAGATCATTTTGGATATTGGACATCCAGATTCCAGACTTTGTACTGTATTAAGTAAAGTTTGTTATAAATAAAACAAAATTCAATCTAGGTATTGAACACAACAAAAAAAATTTTTAATATATTTGTAACATACCATTACAAACACAGAAATCAAATTTTCCTTAGAAATTTCACTTCTTATAATCTATTATTAAAGATTTAATTTATTTGTGTCATATTACAAACATATTAATATTACAATCTCAGTAATGTCCAAGAAAATTTTTTACCAATGCAGAGAAAATATATTCATGTTGATTTTCTATTTTGAAAGCCTAGGTGAAAAACTAATAGGCACTTTGAAGCATTCATTCCAATGAGGATGGGTGTTCTGATGGCTCCATTACAAACCACATGGTTTGAATTACATATTCATCACAATTCTTAATTCTTACTCAGAATGACATAAAAGAAAGATTATGAAATGAGCAAAATTAAGGACCTTTCATAAATTTCGACTGAGCTTAAATACTTTTCAAAAGTAATTTTCGAAAAAAAATCAAAGACAAACCCTGTGAAGTAGTAGTTTGACTTTTGTTTTCATACATTTACAGTTTGATTTGCCTTCTAAACAATTTCAAAATGTTCACAGGATACTCTTTTCATGGTTCTTACACTACTGTCTCAATAGATAGCTTCCAGTATTTGCTTCCATGATCAGGAATACTTTTCTCAAATTTATTCATCTCTTACTCCTAGCTTATCTCTTCTGGGAATAATTCTCTACGTTTTTGGAATTTTCATCCATAATATTAAAAGATTGTGCATAAAAAACAACTCATTACTTATCTTCAATATTTCATTATTTTAACAAATTCATGTTATTAGAAAGACTTATCACTAAGCTCATTTGTTTGATACATTTTGAACACTAGATGTTAAGTTATTCACTCGATATTTTCCAAATTAGCTATTTTTGTAATTTTATTATACTACATCAGAAGTAACCCCCAACTTTTACACTAACATTAATACATTTTAAATCTGAAAATTTATAATCAAAATATTTAAACATTTATTTTGTATTTATAGTTCTTTTCATATAATTCCTTTTATTGAATTTTTTAATAAGTTTTTCTCCTATTTCTATAATTTTGTTGCATGTTGTAGTTATAGAGCTATGTGGGGAAAAAATCTGACTTCCTAAATGACCTGTTATATAAAACAAGAAATTTATAACAAAATGCTTATTAAAGTCTTTTTTATACAACTTACTCAAAAATGTGAGATTCAACAGCTTCCTCAAGATATTTGAATATATTTGTTGCATCCTCAGATATATCAAGCAAATTCATTTGTGATGAAGATAGATTAATACCTTCAATAGAACCTTTTTGCAACAATGAAAAATGAGAAATATCTTCAACAGCATCTTGCATCCTTTGGTCAAGATCTTTACAAATTCTATTTGAAATACAATAAGAAATTAATTATTTGCATATGCATGTGTTTACCTATGAATGTCATAAATAATCTAACTTGGTTATTGTTTCACTAGTGAAAAATCACTTCTAAGGTGTCATATGAGCCACTGTGAAAAAGCTATCCAAGTATGCAACTGTGTTTGAAATAATAAAAATAACATATATGTTTTAGGTATTATATTACTGAATGATATTTAGCTTTACCTTTTTTATTTTTGATATGAAGGCTCAACTATACAATCTTTATTGATGAATGGAATTCATGGATATGACAAAAAATACAACTTTATCGCAAAAAAAGCAGAGGCGCCTAATGAAGAAAATTGTCCAGTAAAGGCAGCTTTCTATAATAAAAGAAATCATATCTAAGCTTGAAAGAAATAAATTAATAAATCCATAGCTGCCAACCTTCAAATATGAAAAAGCAGAAAATTCTCATGCAAAAACCAGAGTTTCAAGGAAGTTTTCACGCTGCATGATGAAGCTATTACAAAATAACTCCAAATATACTTAAATTCACATTATAATGCATGGTTCAATAACTGAACTACTTTATAATATGATTATGATGAAAATATTATACATTTAATTAGATATTTAAATTTTATGTTATCTGGGCAATTTCATTTCATAATTTTCTAGCCCTTTTTCAAAAAATCCTCGAGTAGTGGAAAAAGGCTTTTATTCATCAATGTAGTTTTAAGTATGATGAAAATATAATTAATGTATATGCTTTTATTGTATATATAAGCTTAGTATTATGCCATTTATTGATGCAAAACAAAATTAAATACAGAAATTAACTGATCAACCTTTGGGCTAAATTTCATAAAATGTTCTACAAATGTCTACAGTAGTCTCACATAATTTATATCAGATAAAATTTAATAAAGTTAAATAAAAATTTAATAATTTAATAAAGTTAACAAAACATGCTGAAAATTACTAAGAGTGGAGGAATATAATTTGTACAGTTTATGTTTCATTAATTCCAGTGATCTATCAGGTGATGTGATGAAAAAGCAGAAGAGTTGGCATCTATGTAAATCTGACAGAACTGTCCGCTTTTATCTATTGCAAATTTTTTTGAATGCTTACAGAGTCATCATTTACCATAAATGAATTGCTATTATGAAAGCAAATAATCTCAGACTGACAAAGGATCATACAAATCAAGATTTGGATTTCTGGGAAAAGTACATTATTATTTTTACTAAGTTTTCCTTATAAAATACATTTCCTTTTAATTCAAGTCTACTTTAAGCAAACGTATTTATAAAAGTTAAATGTAATATAAAGTTAATCCTAATTATCATGACTTTTAATTTATGTTAATTTATGTTGTTTTAATTTAAGAAATGTTTTAGTGATAAGAACACATTTGAAATACAAAAGGTGCTGAAGAAGTGCTAAAGTATTACCTGAAAACCTTAGCTGATTAGAAACATAATTTTTGCCTGATTTCAAGTGAAAATTAAGTTCTTAATCGGTCCAGGTTTTTGATAATTACATCCTTTCTACATTGTTATTATTTATTTGGTGTGTTCTAAATATATGTTTGTACTTTTTTATCCATCACCAATAGACAAACAAAATAGTACAAGCATGCATTAATAGCAAAATAAGTTGCAGAATAGAAGAGAAACACGCTAATGTGACAATCAAAATCGCAATAACAACCTTGTATTTAGCGTACATATATTAAAACACTCAATCGATTTCGAGGGCAAGCTAAAGGTCCCTCCTCATCAGGAGAATGAAATTACTAGAAAGGGGAAAAAGAAGAAAAATAAAGCATTGGCAAAGGAGTCTCAGAAACACGTGGTCATAACCGGATTTTGAATCAGAGTACACTGGTCGCCTACTTTTACTGAGCCAGGCTAACTGATCAATCGGCCAGTGTAACTCTGATTCAAAATCTGGTTACAACCACGTGCAGTGCTGATAACGAAAACAGAGATTCCTTTGCCTGAATTCTGAGACTCCTTTGCCAATGCTTTCTTTTTCTTCATTTTCCCCTTTCTAGTAATTTCGTTCTACTGATGAGTAGGGACCTTTAGCTGCTCTCGAAACCGATTGTTTTAATATATATATGCTAAATACAAGGCTGTTATTGGGATTTTGAAAATAAGTTATAGTTATCAATTTTAAAAATATGCTTTAATTGATAAAATTAATTTGGCTAGATACAGTTAATGATTACTACTGTGAGAGTTATATTACCTTTACGAAGTCATGAAAATTTGAGAATACCTAAACGTGATGCATCATTTACTCCAATTTCAAAATATATAAAAAACTAATACCTAGTTTCGTTTAAACATGAAAATATCAAAAGCATTACTTACTAAATTAGGAATAGTTATGAAACCTCTGTTTTTTAGGTATAACCCATAGCTTTCATGCTTAGTTCTATACATTATGTTAACTCTAATTTTAAAGCATTAAAAAAAATCTAATATCTAGCTTCATTTAAACAGTAAAATACCAAAAGCACTATTTAATATATTAATGATAATTATCAAACCTCTGTATTTTAGGTGTAAAACCCATAGCTTTCATGCTTAGTTCTCCACTATTTATAATATTTCTTTGATGACGAGGTATCCAGGCAATGTCGTTCACAACATCATTAGAAGATTCCATCCACACATATAATGAAATATTCTTTTCAAATTCCAGCCCTGAACTGAGTCAGGGAAAAAGACAATAAAAAAAGAAAGAAATATATTAAAAAATTAATCATATAGAATAAAATAAAAATAAACATTATGCTTTTTATATATAATTCAGTGTATTAAACAGCATATGGTGTTACTTTTTAAATAATATTAATAAGGTCTATCGGAAAGTTCTGTCCAATATTTATTTCAAGCACTTGCTCATTTGAGACATATATGGCTTTCTTTATTACTGCATTTAAACACATGTGCTCTTCAATTTTACATAAAACAAAAGTATCTCATGCCATTATTATGTGAGACATAATCATATGCATATAGCTACTGATACAGCACATTTATAACATTGTATTGGTCTGAATTCCAACAAAGAAAGAAATGATATGCTGCCCAACTGGGTGAGTGTTTAGCGATTCTGACCGAAGGGCTCGGGTTCGAATACAGGAGAAGGCAAGGATGTTTGTAAATGTATAGAGTTTGCGCAGCATAAGAGCATTCTAAATATGTAATAAGCCAAAAGTCCTCTCGATGTTTGTAAATGTTTAGAGTCTGTGCAGCATAGGAGCATTCTAAATATGTAATAAGCCGAAAGTCCTCTCGATGTTTGTAAATGTTTAGAGTCTGTGCAGCATAGGAGCATTCTAAATATGTAATAAGCCGAAAGTCCTCTCGATGTTTGTAAATGTTTAGAGTCTGTGCAGCATAGGAGCATTCTAAATATGTAATAAGCTGAAAGTCCTCTCGATGTTTGTAAATGTTTAGAGTCTGTGCAGCATAGGAGCATTTAAATATGTAATAAGCCGAAAGTCCTCTCAAGAGGTTGGTGGTAGGGAAAGAGGGGTGGGGAGAACATCGGGCACGTCCCGCCGGGGTGCCTCTCATCAAAATTGGAGTTGAAACTGAGCAAGAACTGCTCAGAAATAGTTTAAAAATTTAAAGTTGGAAAAAGCAGCACTGATGATGAATCCTGTTCAGGACGTTTTGAACTGTTAGAACCAAATCAAATGATTCATTCAGAGGTTTATAGTGAACAACTTTGCCGTCTAAAATCAAAATTGATCAAAAAACACCCACGATTGGTGAATATCAAGAAAGTGTTGTTTCATCATAATAATGCTAGACCGATACGGCTCGAACAATGCTGCAAAAAATTAGTGAATTTAATTGGGAGTTTTTGCCATATCCTGCTTACTCCCCAGATATTGCCACAAGTGATTTTCACTTATTTCGTGCCTTACAAATTTTTTTACTGGGAAAAAAATTAAATTCTGAACAGGATATACACAATGAACTTTTAAGTTTTTTTGCATCAAAATCATAGTTCTACAGCAATGGCATAAAAAAGCTGCCTGTAAGATGGTGAGACATTGTAGATAATGGAGGAAAATATATAATTGATTAAAATCTTAAATTGTGTTTTTTTATATTATTTAAAAATTTTCCAAATAATGTGCATGAATTTATGGACTGACTCAATACTACATGTTAATTTAAAAAAAAAAAAAAAAAACATATGAAATTCAAATCTTCACACTTTTTTTAATTGGCATTATATTAAATTCACAGATAGTGTTTCCCCCCCCCCTTCCATGTTCTCCAATATTCTAGCAATTTTTTGAATTGAGCAAAAATATTAACTTACTCTTCTTTTACATTTGAAATACTATCTAAAGTCCTTTCAATGTCTTGTTGACACATTTCACTTGAACTTTTTATACATCCATTAATTATATCCTATAAATAAAAGACACATTCACACATGCAATCATAAGATATTTTTTGCTATTATCATTGCATTATTTCACTATGTTCCCTTTATTCTTGCATTTTATTTAAATAGCTTTAAAATTAAAAACAAATATTAAATAATGTTCACTATTTTTTTTTTATTATTATTATTATTAAATGCATAGCATGGTATATAGCAACAAACTTTTATTCTAAAGAGATTTACATCTCAGAAGTATTTAGATTTTAGCAGAGATTTACATCTTCTATAGTGCTTATTTATATATATATATATATATTTAATAAAAAACCTTATTAGAATAAAATATGACTTGATTATAAGGAATGAAATGCAATGATTTTGTACGAAACAACAGAAAATTAAAAATGAAAGAACTGACCTTTATTCGTTGCAGAAAACAATCTTTTAAAAAATAATCCCAGATTGAAAAGGGCGTTTTCAATAAACTACTGCACAATTTATTCCAACTTTTCTCCTGTTTAAAAGAGAGAGTAGAACAAATGTATAATTTATTTTTATCATGAAAGCTATCATTTCACTCAACTATTTTTAAAAAGTTATATATATTTTTAAACTAAATAGGCTGAAAATTCCCAAATAATTTTATTCCTATTTCCCATTCAAATACTAAAGATAACAATTATATAAATACTAAAAGAAATATTGCATTCACATTTGTTTTTCAGTTATAAATTCAAATGCACATACTAAAAAAAATTAATAAATTTTAATCTAAACAAAAGGATGGAAACTGGCAACTGTATATTATAAACTAACATCTGAAATAAATTTAAATTCCTTTCAGGATGGCATATACATGGTGGCACAGAACACAAAGAACTACTGCCACCCATTAAATGTAGTTTTTCTTCTGCACAATGCATACTGTTACAGTTTGAATGAAACTCAATGGCATGAAAACTATGCGGATATTTTCAGCATTATCAGAATTATTTTAAAATGGTATTCATGCATAGAAATTAATCATAAAAGGTATTTTAAATACAAAATGTAAGCATTTATTTCCATTTGTCCCCCTTCTCCCATATAAAACAGTACAAACTAAAAAGTATCAAAGTATTATTATGAAAATGCACTCTTTCAGTTGGTTTTGTTACATAAATAAGCAATACACTGCTATAATTGAGAAGATAAATGAAAAATCTTTTGCCAAGTAGGTAAGCAATTCTCTTTCGTTTCAGTTTCTGAATTAAAATAAAAGAAATAATGAATTAAATAATTACATAAAAAAAGAGAGAGAGAGAGAGTTAATAAAACATTGGTGTCATTAACATATGCTAAATGCAAATTTTTTCCAAATTGCAGGGCTCTTTTTAAATATTACTGTTCAAGAACACATAAAATAATTCTACAGTTTTAAGAAATTATATTAACAATTATACATCTCAATTTTGGAAACAAATTTAAATGTTGTTAAATGATAGAAAACATACCTCACAAAGATGATTGAACACAGCTTCTCTAATAAAAGCCATGCTCTTTACTGAATTCACAAAGTTCAGCAAGTTCACTAATTCAGGCACAAAATAACTTTTGATTCTAGAAAAACAAAATAATTGAAAATATCCTTGAAATAAAAGATCCTGAAATCGATTTTTCAAATTCTATGATAAAATCGAATCTTTTTCAAACTGTACGACAGATTTAAGGCTGCTTTCATGCTTAATTTTAAATATATGAATTATTTCAAAATAGAAATTCTGCTTAAACAAATATTCTTAGCTTATATGGAAAATTTTTCTTTCAATATGTGCTACATTAGTTTTTTTATGTATACCATATATTTTTTTTAATAAATAAAGCCAATTTATGCTCAAATTTATGATGTAGATGATAAAGGAGTAAATAATTTTTTAAGACTAATTTTTTATACCTAATGATCTATAAAAGGTAAGATTCCAATTATTACGAAACTATTTCTTAATTCCCATAAGAAAAACCACAGTGAAATTATAAGAAATACATATTTACTCACATATTAACATATAAGTAAGATACAAATCATTCTTAAATTTAAAATATGCCTGCATTCTAAATTACTTTTAGATAGATTAAACAATATCACACGAATTGAAAATTTTATTTTTTAAAAATTTATCTTACTCTTTCAGCCAGTGATCACATTTTGATTGTAGCAGTTCAGAACTGCATGGCACAATAGGTTCATTAATAGATGGCCTGAAATCTAAATTTAAAAAAATAAATAAATAATCATGTTTATTTAAAAGTGCATAACATTACTTAATACTTGTAACCATTCAGTGTAACCCACAAATTATATAATCAGAAATACTAATCTACAATTATAAGTACCGATTGAAAAGCTTGTGTACATTTCATTGAATAAATGAAATTTGAGTATTTTACATTCTGCTGTATTCTATTCTACTTATAGTTAATACCACTGCATTAAAAAAAGTGGCTACTTAAAATTTCTCAATAAAAATGAAATGTCTGCCAAAACATTATTGCATGTCTCTCAATCATAGAAAATTAAGCATACACAATTGAATTGTACTAAAGTACAGTCTAATATTTAGATAAGTAACCATGATTTTTTAAACCAGAGTATAATTTCCCTGGCATTTCAGTAACAGTCTCTATCACTACTTTTTATAATGATTATAGTATAAAACAATCAAAGACTTTTCTTCCTTTGACTTATACAGAAGTTTTTCCTCTTGTATGAACAAACTGTCACTAACTTTGGCATGTGACAAGAATGATTATCATCCAGAATGATAAAATATCAAGATATTAATCAATATTTCACAAGAATAGTAAATTCTAGCATCATAACAGTCACATATTTGCCCATTTAATGAGCATTAATAATTGTTAAATGACCAGTATTATTGACTGAAATGCAAAAGAATGCTTACATCATTATAAAAGAATGTTTAAGTGATAATTGAGTACAGGCTTTCTAAATGGTTCACTAATCAGGTAAAATACATAATTATTTCTAATATGACCAAAAATAATTATATCACAAAAAAAAAATTTAACTTTTTTTATTTGATGTTAATTTAATTCTAGCATATATAATCCCTTCTCCCATCCTCCAAGAAAAGTCTACTAAATTTAGATGCCAAATCTGGATAATACTCAGCTATTAACTCAAGACATGATTATAAAAAGCACAGAAAGAAAAACAAACAAATTGCTATTAACAGAAAAACTATTAACAATTATCTGTATTGTTAACAATGCAAATCTAAAGAATAAGTTCATTTAGCTATATTAATTAAATCAGTATTCAGAGTTTTCTCCATCTATCTCTCTATTTCTTCTTCACTTTAGGTGCACATGCTGTTTTTCTTTGTTTACACTTTTGCATTTCAATACATATGTCAGTACAGTAAATGTGAAACAGAAGATTAATGGTTATATACTTGAATTAGTTAAAAGAAAAAGCAAAAATTTTAATGAATAATTTAACAATTTTTATATAACTTCCCTTTTGTGCAATTAAATTACATGTTGCTGCGCATAAAAACAATTCCCAAATATTACAATGGCATTCCCCACTATCAATGCTGTTAACCCATGTACTTGGCTTCTTTATATTTTCAGTACACAGTTTGGGCTACGCTGATAACAGTAATTTTTCTGTTGCTGCACAATACACAAACTTAGACAAGGAGTGGTTAATCAGTCCTCAAATGACTGGGAATTTGACTGTAGATTCTTATCCAGACCAGTCCGTTTCTTGAAATCTACACTAAATGCCTAGAATTGCGAATGTATCAATATAATGCTTCACAAGTTTCATAATACCATGCTGTTTTAAATCTTGCTACTAATGATAAAACTAAAAATATGATCATCACATCATGCATATGTTTGGAGTGAAACTTTTTCTTTCCCTATCTACAATAAAGCTAATTATCCTTAACACTTTTAATAGTATGCAAAATGCTAAAAAAAGATTATACAGAAATCTGACGGCAATTTTGTTTTTAAAACAACATTTGTATAAAAAAACAATTTGTTACACCACATAAATATGCAGGGACAATTTTCTAGACTTTTTTATACTATGATTCAAGAAGCAATAAATATTACATGAACTGACTATTGAGACTAATTAAAATGCATAAAAAGCAGGTATCTGAGAATGCTGTGATATAAATAAGCAACTTTAAAATTATTTTGCAAACAATATCTTTCAGAATTCTGATTTCTATCTCCAATGTTATAATGTCATGACAGTTTATTTCCATAAAAAAAAAAGATTTATATTCAAAAATAAATTAATATTCAAATATGCAAATACACTGATAGGTTTAAATTTAAAGTTCTTGGATTCCTGAGGAGAGTTGCCAGATCAAATACCATTATCTATATGCACATACAATTTTAGAATAGGAAAGAAATTCCCATAATAGTTCAAAAATTTACACATTGTGTAAATTCTGAAGCTCAAACTGAATTATGAAGGTCAAAACAAAGCAGTTAAATGGCAACATAAATATATCTCTCACTTTATCTATAGAACCATAAAAAGCCCATCTTGCAATGCAAAAATTGGCTATTATTTTAAATAGTTAATAATTATTTGTAATTTTGAACATCTGAACTGTTAATGATCATTTAAAAACATTTTGAACATTTAAAATATAAATAAAGGACTAATATGACATATAAAACAGTAATTCAGCTGTGAATTAAATATTGAATCATCCCATAAAAATCACCACAAATAAATTTAAGTAATAGCTCTCTTAGTGCTTCATTATAAAGAACAGGACTTACTATACTTATTTACTAATTTCAGATAAATGAAAATTAAGCTTCTATCTTAACTGTTCATGCTATGCCAAAATACCAGAGCAACATTGGCTCCACATAATGAAGGATAAGACGAAAGACACAGAATGAGATAAATAGGATTTTCATTTCTACTGTGCATGTTAATGTTAATTTGCTGAAAGTACAAAATCTGAATCAGAAATTCAATGAATCAGTATCAGAAGCTAACGTTAGCACATATTTAAATATGGCAAATAAAAAACAGCTTTATTCTTAACCTGCACCAGAAAATGTTAAAAAAAAAATCCAAAAATTCCTGCATTTATAATAGTTTGATGGTAAGCCTCAGTTTCGTACCACAGCTTTGGCACAGAATCAGAATTATTTTCTATTTTTTAACAATATGCCACAACATGTTAGATGCGCCTTGATGCAATTGATACACTAATCACAACATAATAAAATGTTATTTGTTTATACAACTGTTGACAACACGATAAAAAATTAATTTAAATTGAGATAATAATAAGCTGAAAAATTACCTGTTATTGCACTTGGTAAGAATTTGAAAGTTTCACTTGCATTTAAATCTAACAATGCGACAGGACCTTTTGAAAAGGGGGAAAAAATTATATTTATGGACAAGAGAAATGCATATGATGACACTTCAAATAATAATATGACTAAAAATTCAGATAAAAACTTCATATTCTGTATAATAAGCAAAAATATTTTAGCAAACAAAAAAGTAATCATAATGCACAATGAGTCAGAAAGAGTACAATGTGCATTCTATTACACACACATTACTGAATTAACTATAAGTATAGCAACATTTAATATTAACTAAGATAAAGTGATTTCTTATTAATTACATTTGAATTAAAAAAAATAGTAAAATGCATGTAAAGAAAATAATTTAAATATGCAGTGAAAAATACTTAAAATAAATATCTTAAAAGTCTTAGTAAGTTTCTAAGAGGTACATAATCTGGTACATGCATATTAATGCAACCACCTTGACACAATTAAGAGACTTTTTACAGATGAAAAGGTACAAGTTACATATCAGGTGCAAGTTGGTGGTTTTCACGATTTTTTTAAAAAAGATTCCTAAACAATCGATATTTATCATCAAGTTTACATTCATTATCAACATCTGAAAAGTCAACATATTTAGAAATTTAAAATGCACATTTTAGTTGTTAAAACTTACATTCTTCACCAAACATTCTGTAATTTTTTTAAGCTATTCTTCTTTACAGGTACACAGCAATCTCTTTTCACTTAAAAAAAAACATTAGTATCTGTATTCTCACAGAAATTTTATCACAGTTTTTTCCACCGCTAGAAAATCTCACAAGTGAATTTTTTAAAATTAAATTTAAGGCAAAAAAATATCTTGACTTATTTGTACAAGCTGTTGGAAACTGGAATACAATAAAAACAACACACACAAAAATGGTGACGCTGCTTGACCAAACCATTGCTATCAGCATGATTGCCAGAGTTTGGCACATTCTGAAAATTTGGTGATTTTTACTAAGGTGGTTGCAATAACACCTATGTACCCATATTCTAATGTTATGGTTCATATAAAATTTTAAATAACTAAAAAAATTCCTTTAATCAAAAAAATGAAAATCAATATAATATGTTCATCAAAAACAATATAAATGTTCTCTTAAAATATGGGACAAATATCATTTCCTTCTAAAATGGTTAGAAAGATACTTTGAAATTTTCTAATATAAAAGGTACTTTTCTTTAACAAAGTATCATTTAGCGCCAAAATAAATGTTCATGTGAAATCTAGCCAGATAGAAGCAACCTAATCATACATAAAGCTTCATAAATAATTAACTTATAATGCATCATATATATATATATAATCAATCAGCCAACCTTACAGAAACATCTATAATAAACAGGATTAAAACTTTTCATAAGAAACTCAATATTACTTTCAATGCAAACTACAACAGATTTACTAATCTTTATGCGATTCCCAAATTCCATAAAACACCATTAAAATTTAGATTTATAGCTAATGGAACTAATAATTACAAGAAAAATATAGACTATTATTTTTCAATTCAACTTAATAAAATCTGTAAATTTATTTTCAATGATTGTAACACTAATCATAACTATTGCTGGATCATTCATAATAACACTCCTGTCATTAATACCATTCATACCATTAACATCCAAAACATTAACTGCTATGATTTTGAAAACTTATATACCTCACTTCCTCTAGAAGAAATCTATACCAGTCTACTTGATCTACCAAAACTTTTCCCTAATATACTCAATATCATGACTCTTGACAAATGGAAAACCTACCTAAAATGCACACTTTTTCATAACTACATCAAGTTTCAAAATCAACTTTTTAAACAAGTCAGAGGATTGCCAATGGGCTTACATTCCAGCACCTCGATCTGTAATATCTTTTTATTTGTCAAAGAATTTAACTTCCAAAAAAAATCTACAACCACAAGAGTTAAATTACTACAAACACACCTACAGATTTATTGATGACCTTATTACAATTAATAATTTTGGTAAAATTGAAAACTCCGACATTTATCCGAATTGTCTTAAACTTAATAAAACTAATAATTCACAAAATAGCATAGACTTTCTAGATCTTCAAATCATTAACTACAAAAAAATTTTACTTTTTGACAAAACAAGAAACTTCAATTTCAATACTAACAAATTAATAAATTGGAACTCCAACATATCCAAAAAAGTAATTAACAATACTATAATTAATCAAATACAACGAATTAAAACTATATGCACAGATACAATAGATTTACAACGCGAAATTTTGATCCTTATCAAAATTCTCAAAAATAATCTAATTCCCTTTCAATTTATCAACCATTGCCTTAAAAGAGCAGGCGTTAAATACTCACTCTAAATCATTTAACTGATAGGGATATGATAATTTATTCCTAAACCTGAGAAGGCGGTATAAGTTGGATGACTGTCAGTTGAAAGATTTGTATATAGTGTAATTACTCAATTGTATATATTGTAAAAAGCTAATTGTCTTCAGACATATACTGTTACTATACTGTTACTAAAAAAATGGGCCTATTTCCTGCCTTTAGACTGTCTACTAGCTCTTGGATAGCGAAAATGCCTTTTTCCTTTCTTAAATTCTTAATCATTGCGACACGACAATTAGCCAGAAATTAATTAATTTCCATTCACTAGTATTTTTAAAAAAATCTTAACAGACGGTCTCTCTCAGATAAGAACTCCACAAAATACATCCCTCAAGAATTCCAAGTCCCACCCACTACCATAAATTTCTTCACCCAAGTCTTACCGACTGATATAATTCAAAGCCCCTACTGCCGCTAAGAATTTTCGGACACCCTACACTTCTGAGTCAGACACGAAGAGAACACACTGCCAACTCCCCCACTAGAAAGAATGTAAGTTACTTAATACCTTTCTGGCCTTTATATCTTCATGTACATTCACTGATCTTATTTATATTATTTTCTATTTTATTTTTTATATTATTTTTATGTTCTCTTTGATTTTTTTTTTGCAAAGTTTGCATTATTTATCTTTTTTATAATCTTCTATGTTTATTTCAACTTTACTTTGATTTCGATTTCATAATGACAATTTCCAATGTTTAATTTCTACAAATAAATATAGTACTCAAATACATAAAGATGATAGTGTCGGGGACGATTACTCGAGTTTTACAAGATTTCTCTACAGTAATTGATTTTTACTCCAAATTGAATTGACTAAAATGCTTCATGAGAATCAGTTCTTTGAGTAACAACTATTCGCGGAAATATTTGGCCTGACTAGAATTGCCGGTTTGGCTTTAATTTATAACTCGAGTAAAGACGAAACACTTTCATATTTACGTATTTCTATCAATTATTGATCATTGAACGGGAGTTGGTTTGTTCCCCTTGAAAAGTCAACTAATTTCCGATCAATGACAATAATTACATGTTTTAATTTTTACTTTTACAATTGTAATATTATTCTTCGTGATGATTTAACTCCAGTCCCCGTTAAAACATTATTAACATTTTGCTTTCAAATTACTTCAAAACATCTTTCAAAATATAACTTACCAGTATGGATGCACACTTTTAAAATAATTCTACTTTAATTAAACTTAGGAGATAATATAATCAATTAATCAATACTGTTTAGGAAATAAATTATTATTAACTAACTTTGCAGCAATTGCGCAAGTAATAATAACTTGTATTCGCACTAAATGGATTTAAGTTCATACAACATTTGATATGCTAAATAGCAGCTATTAGCGCTATTTATCTCTTACCTAATGTACCCACTTTATATATTATCTCCAACCTTTTTAAGTTTTAAAGTTCTTATACAAAAACTTTACTGTATTGAAGGTTAGCAGCCTCCTTACTTTTATATCTTGCTAGTTTAACTCATATTGAAATCACTAAATGTCATTCCACTAGATGACAAACTTGAAAATTTAACGCCATGCCTGCTACAGGTAAACCCAAAAAACAATTTCTATGAAAAACATTTAACTGTATTTACATGATTACATGCGGTACTTGACATATTAAATATATAGGACAGACTAAAAACAATCTTAACTTTCGAATCAATAACCATAGAGCTCAAATCAAAAAATTCAACGCACAAAAAAATAACATTAAAATAAGTACACCATCACAACTTAATACAGCAGAATTAGAACACTTTAAACACCATGACTTCAACTCTATTCAACTTCAGATACTAGATATAATACCCAATCACAAAACACGAATTTTTCAGGAATCTCTCTATATACTAAAACAACGTTCACTTTATCCATATGGACTTAACACTTATATACATAGTCATAGAGATACTTCTAAGAAGTCTATTTTCAGCCAATTTAAACTCTACAGCATCAAAACGCAGAGAGGAAAAAGAGGAAGCAAAATAAAAAATAATGCGAGATTTTTATCCACTTTGGATACACTTGCATTGAAAAAACAATTGAAATGTTTTTTTGACTCAGACTGTTTTCCCAAGAAACTTCTCAACTGGTTACACTCCTGTACTAATAAATTCCTTATCAAACTAAAAAAATTCATTCAAGAAAGCTACGACGACATACAAATCATTAAAGACATGATTCTTGATTTTAGTCTTTTCAGACTCTCTAATAGTCTCACTCAACGCAAAATTTATTTTAAAGTCAATTTTCTGCATCCGCAGTTTGACAATATTCATTTCTCAAGAATCATCAGAGATTGTAAAGATTACTTCCCCGCAGTTGACACTATACCAATGATTGCATTTAAATATCAAAGGACCTTAAGCAACTTGCTTACTAACCACCATGAAATAGATGAAACTGCAGAATGACATTGTAAGACACCAATTTACAGCAATTACGTAGATTCTCATCACCAGCACATAATTACTGGCAACCTGAATATCATACAAAACCATCAACTAAAAACACTAATGAGTTATGGTACAAAATTTAGACCAGTCAGAAACATGACTACAAATTACTGTTACAAGACTTTCGAAAACAACATCAACGAATTTATAGTTAAAGCAAGCTATC